AATTACAACTCACAGAGACATTGCAAACTATGCAAGCTGCAAAAACAATTAGCTTAATTTTAAAGCACGACAGAAATACAATTAAATATACATTGCATGGTTAAGTGGTGCATATGCCAAATTCACTTGTATAAAACATTGTGTAGGTAAGGGAACAGAATATTTATTCTCACCTCTCCAAATGGTGTGTAGAACTGCACAACATTGAATTCTTTCTCCATATTTGAGGCTTTGAGAGAACCAGCCACTGCCAGAACACTACCACAGTGATTCCACTGGATACTGACCACATTCATCAGAGTGTCGATACACACTGGGTCTGCAGAACAGGGCAGCAGCGCAGCACAGACCATCATTACAGGTAAACATTTTGAATTAAGTGTAACCTGGAGAAAACATCTCTAAAGGCATTTTCCTTACTTTCATCATTCTCATAGCGCATTATCTGGCATCTTCCATTGTCGAAACAGATGGCGAGACATGGGCAGTCTGCCTCAACATAGCCCCCAGTTCCTGCATACCAGTGAATACCTGCGATACTGACACCTCCAGGTGAATTAATGAGGCAGCTTATGGTCATTTTCATCTGAAACATTATAAAGAGTTTTAAAAGTCAACATGTAATACTATTTCATCAGTTAAGCAAGATGTTGTCTTAAATGTTCATATCCTACATATAGATGCTTTACAGCACATGCAATTATTTCTGATTCTACACAAGACAATATCTATGATACTCTATGATAATACAATTTTATGTTTTTTTTCTCGAAAATTATACACTTACTATGAAGTTTCCTTGATTATCATAAATTTGCACTTCCCCATTAGCCATGCCAAAGAGGAGGATCTTGCTGTCTGGTGACCATGCCACATGTGCAAGTTGATTTCCTTTTAGCTCCTTTCCCCAAATCCGGTTACCTAGAAAAAAAAAGCCTTCATGAGCCACTCACTTGCCAAGTATGTAAACAAAGTAGTCCTTGTCAAGGGAGCCTTTGTGTTTTTTTAAAGCTAAATCTGCCTGGAAGACTACTGTGATTTATTGCCATGTGTTAGATTTTAAGTAATCATGCCCTGAAGCTATTTACCATCTACAGATCCAACAATGACAGCTCCATCCTCATACACAATGCAGATCTTTTGACCATCTGCGTTCCAGCTCATGCTCCTCACCACTGACTTGTTCCTGTTGTTGATCATCTCCTCGTACCACGCTCCTGAGGGAGAGACAACAACAATTATATAATTCTGAAATTTATTTCGAGACAACATTTCTAGTTTGCAGAAGCACTAACCTTTGTACAGCATCCATACAATGATGAGTCCATTCTGGTCACTGGTTGTCAGCTTTTCATACTGTTCATTCCATGTTACCACTTGCACTGCACCTGTAAGCGAAATAATAAAAGTCTGATCATTTTTTATGGTTCACTTAAGGTCTGTGCATCAACACGTGCCGTCTATCCTTTTGTGGACACTGATTGTTTTAAACACGTTATAATGTTAACATTTTTGTCAACAGCAGATAATAACTTACCACTATGTCCCTCTAGTGTCTGATTCATTGACAGATTACTGGGTGCGGCAAGACCTTTAAGTTTGGCATCATCTTTTGAGAAACCATAATGAAAAAGAGTATTAATAACAAGTTATTTGCAAGCAAGAACCGTCTAAAAAAACGTTTATAAGGCAGACACTCGAACTGTGGGGTGTAGGTAAATATTGGCTGAGTTTTTATCGTCATTTGATAAACATAAGGTCGGTCCAACAGACTGAGAGGGCAACGTAGAAGCATTTCTACTTTCAGTGACTGGACGTATGGGTACCAAAACAGAGCCAAAAAGCTTATGAAAGATTACTTACACGCTGTTGGAGCTGTTGTCAATAGCCCTCAAATCTCAATCACATGGGTATTAGATAACAGCTTGGACTTAGACAAATGAACTTCAACACATGATGCTGAATGAGCATGACAGTACATATTGTAAATGAAAAGGGTTTCTCCAGTGTCATTAAATTACCTCGACCAAGGAGGTTATGTTTTCACCCCTGTCCTGTTTGATGTTGGCTTGTTAGTTTTTTGTTTCTTCTGTATGTTACTAATCAACATTACGTACGAAATACTGGACAGATTCAAACATACGAAGGTGGAAGTATGTGGCATTCATCAGGGAAGAACCTGTTCAATTTTGGTGTGGATTCAGATCAGATCAGATGACAGATCCAGAGGGTTTTTTTTAACTTTCTTTAACATTGCGAAATAGAGTTTTTTTTCCAACATTTACCTTGAGTGTAATCCATGGATCTTCATGAAAAAAAATCTGAAATGTTTAGGGAATTGTGCAATTTGGTGCAGATCCAAACAAAATCCAGATCTAATGACATTAAATGTGATTTTATCAGGGGTCAATGGGCCTTGGCAGCATTAAGTGATCCACTGAGTGAAAGTCTAGTTGATCACTTTTATTCACCTATAAAATAAAATAACAGCAAACATAAACAAATAAGTAGAGTGTTTAATGTGAACACACAGGTAAGCGGTGGAAGATTCCTAAAACCAGGCCCAGCTGACATCAGCATGTTGTATCAGTATGTTTAAGTATAGGACTTATATATAAATATTGGACTAAATAACAATTTTTACACATAATCATTATAACTTAGGGCTGCATATATGTCATATAAGTATTATTAGAATGTCATCTAGAAACTAGATAAAGGCTTTTAAAAAACCTCAACAAGTTAGTCTACAGACACATGAGTGACATTTGGACATTGTGACAGTATTTCAGTCAGGGTCCGTTTTTGTTAAGTACATTCAACACAGTTACACACTATTAATGATTTCTAAAATCGAATTGCATTGTGTATTACACTTTTTAGTAAGTGTATAACTTGTGTTGACTATCCAGGCTTTCATCTATGTCCAAGAATATGTTTTGTTTACCATGTGAGCTCCAGGTGAAGCGAGAGATGACATGTAAATCACGACGTGCAGGTTGTTAGCTCCATACCCCGTCTACCTTACCTGTCTGAGTTTCAAGCTTGAGCACCCTGAGGAGACCGTCGTCCCCTCCGCAGGCAATGAAGCCTTGATCTTTGTTCCAGGAGACACATTTTAGATGGATATTGTTGGGGATGGCGATCTACAAGACACGGGGAGTTGTAGCCACGAGTTAACAACGTTACCTAACATATTGATAAGTGTTGGGGTTGATGGCTGAGCACAAGAGGGGGGCTTGGGGCACTCACCTTCTTGCTGAGGTAGATAAACATGGTGGTGGTTTCTATCACTTAGAAATGAACTGCTTCCTGCGCAGTTATGCGAGTTGACATAATGAAGAAGCTAACCTCAGTTAGCAGAGCAGAAAGCAACGTGAGCTAACACTGCTGAGGCTAACTGTAATGTTAGCCTCCGCCGTTAGCTTTGCTAAGCAGCTAGCAGCCAAATGCGACACGACAGTTATTTAGTTCCCATGATAGCTCAATTTAGCCAAACCAATTCAAGGGTTGAATGCAATGTAGTGAATCACGTTAGCAGAAGTGTTGGAAAAGAAGAGTTTAAATGCGACGTTTCATTCTCGGTGTTAGCAGAGTCCAGCAGATCCAGAGGCTGGAGCTTCCCTCGGTCTCCCGTGGTAACCGCAAACCGGAAGTCCTGGGTTGGTGTCTGTCTGGGAGTTGTAGTCTTTGATTTGGCTGCTCCATAGAATCAGTTATGTGGAAAAGTGAACACTATTTATCTTTGTTGAGTTACTTTTTTTAGCCTACAGAAAAACGTGTGGAGAAGTCTTAAAAACCAACACTAAACAAATCGTAATAATGCATTTAATTTTGTTTGCCAATACACAACAATGTCAAAAAAAGGAATCATAACCATGCTACTAAAGTTTCATATAATAGTTTAAATCAAGTAAAATGTGGCTTGGTAACAAGTATAACACAACACAGCAGATATAACAGAGCCATTGTTTCAGAGTGTTTATTTTCCATGTTCAATGTCCCAATAGAAAATCCACAGTCAAGTTCTTATCAGCCACAGAAGCACCAAAACATGATAATGCACCTTAGCTGTCAGTTTACACATAGAGGCTTGCACCACATTTTCTCAAGTGTTTCACAGACATGACACAGTGGAAAATACAGTGCAAGGAAATAACTGTGCGTGTAAGAAACTGAATTCTTAACTTTGCAATGAAATTAGTGTTTAATGTCCATGAATGCTGCCAGAAACGTCATGACTTCCAAGACCATCCGTGACATGCTCCAAGCTTTCTGAACTGAACTGCCCTCCCTAAAAAGACCCTTTTGTTACAAAATCCCCTCAAAACAATTACCAATCAATGTTGTGCAATAAAGCTGATAGATATTTCAGTTAGAAAGGGATTATAGTAATTCTGTGATTTAACACTACCAGGGGCCAAATGGATCAGATTTTATTTTGGTCTTTTTTCTGGTAATAATGCTACAATAGAGGGATAGCAACACAGCTATTGTTGCATAAGAGATTAGTTGTTGCATTATGGTTATGGATGGAGTCTTTGTGTTCAGCCAAGAGCACTTCACAAAAACACTGACCAAGAAATGCTCTTAGATCAGTGAATACAACAAGAATGTGGTACAACATTTTCTTTAAGAAATTGATACTGATTTCCTCTTACAGTGTGTGATTCTGAACATAATGGTTTATATGCTTAT